GATAAGAGATCCACATCACAACACATCCACACATACTCATCCTATAAGACTCGTGCTATCTTACCCAAAACAAAAAAGCAGATTGAGAAGTTGGGTTCTGATTCCCTGTGGGTCACTGTCCCAGAGCTCAGAGCCCACTATCAGAGATATGTCTTCTACAGCCCCCCAGTGTTCTGAGGGCAGAGGTTGGGCATGCTGGGACAGCTGGATAGTAACTAGAGAGATCAACACCTAGCTCAGACTAAATGAAAATGGAAGCTTGCACAACCAAGAAAAGGGTCAGAGTTAGAGAATGTTGGAAAATGAGGGGAGATATTGACAAGTTCCACACTTAGCTATCATGGGAAGAGTAGACTGTGACCTATCTTCCCATTTTCTGATTGGGATTGATCACACATCTCTTGAGATCATGCCCAAACCCGCCAAAAGGCCTTTTTTCCAGTTTTGGAAATCACTGAACTATGCTACTGTGTCTCACCACCATTCAAAAATGCAACTACTTGTAAGACCTTACACAAATTTGATATTTCTAGGGAAGAGGAGAGATGACCAAGAGTCATGACCCTTTAGAACTCACCTATTCTTGCTCACATGACCAGCAGATAACTTATCCATGAATTTTGGTCTCAGCTTCCAATTCTAATGAAGCCACAGAAATATATCTCTATCTTAATCCCCAATAGAAAAACAATGGCTGCAAAATGCTTCTTCAAAAACAGAGGCATAATAGGACCCAGAGAGTTAATAAACTGGGTAAAAAGGGGTATCCACCCCAGAGTGATAATTCACTTAGTGGCAGCAGAATCATCTGACACTTTCCCCAAATGCCCAATTTACTCCCTAGAAGTAGTTTCCACCCCCAAAAAGTCCCATAAAGTAAAGTATTATCATTTTTTCTTAGTCCTTTATGAGCTATAAGATTTCTGTGAGCCAATACTGCGATCTTTGTGTAAATTCTTTCCCACATGAAAGCAGTATCTATTTGAAGCCTGCAGGATTCCTCTTAGTAGACTACCCCTTCCTGAGCAGAGAATTTTACCCATCTTGCAAGAATTAACTGAGTCCATAAAGCTAGAAATTTGCACAAGAGCTGTGGCTACACAAGGCAGAACTGAGGCAGTTTTCTAGATAACTTAAGACATCAATATTTTGACCCAAAATATTCAAATAAATGAGGCAAAAGTGTGGTTTCCTTGAAATGTCTCAGAATATAATTTTCATCTATCTCTTTTCCATAATCCACATAATTCCCTTTTGAATTAACAACTCATACTTCTCTCCACATGATTGTATACATTGCACCTAAATCCATGACTAATGTAATAATCACAAAATTGGGAGGGACCTCAAGGGTCATCTAGTGTAAGTCATGCCTCCACAGCATTCCCTCCAAGTGAGCACATAGTCTTTGACTGAAGATCTCCAGTAAGGTGGATCCAAGGTAGCCCTTCCCATTTTGGATTAGCTTTACCTGACAGGAAGTTTTTGCTTTTGTTGTTTAGTTATTTCAGTCATGTCTAACTACAACCCATCTGGGGTTTTCTTGGCAAAGATACTATAGTAGTTTGCCATTTCCTTCAACAACTCATTTTATAGATGAGGAAAATGAGGCAAAGAGTATGACTTACCCAGGGTCACACAGCTAGTAAGTGTCTGAAGCTGTATTTGAACTCATGAAGATGAGTCTTCCTGACTTCAGGTCCAGTACTCTATCCATTGCTCCACCTAGCTTTTTCTTCACTTCAAGATTAAATTTACCACTTTGCATCTTCTACCCATCATTCCTACTTCTGATCTGTGAGGCCAAACAGAACAATTCTCTCTCCTCTTCCATGTTAAGACTCTTCAAATACTTAAAGCCACTTGTCATATGTCCCTGAGTTTTCTCTTCTCCAGTCTAAACTTGCCTAATGTTTCCAACTGATCCTCACATGGCACAAACTCTAAGCCTTTCCTCGTACTAGTTACCATCTTCTGGGAAATCTTAGTTCATCAATGTCCTCCCTAAAATATTGCACCCAGGACTGAATGCAATATTCCAGATGTCACCTATGTACAATGGTTTTATCATTGTATTCCCATGCCTCTCAATGTATTACCTGCTTGGGACTCCTTTGTCACCCTGTTGACTCACTTATTGGCACAATTAAACTAATTGAATTTAAAATTTAAAAAATATGACTAGTAGATATGGAGCAAAAGTGTCAAGCCTCCTGCCCTCAACACTCTCCAATGTCAATGAGATTAAAATGTAATTGGGAAATATTTAATAAAATGAACAAAAATACAATAGAATCTAGATAATGTTAACATGTGGATTCTAAGAAAATATGCTGCCCACAGCAATATATTTTCTTTAATGGCCCCCATTTCTATCTGATTTTTGACACAAATGATATAGATCATGGGGCTTTGAAACACTTCTCCAAGTCCACTGACTGAGTGGAAAGGTAAGGGAACCATTGCAAGAAACTCACAAGTTGGGAGATGAATGAAACAGGAAAAAGAAGGAAGAAAATTTCCTCTTGAAAATGCTATCTGGGGGCAGCTAGGTGGCACAGTGGATAGAGCACCGGCCCTGAAGTCAGGAGGACCTGAGTTCAAATCCAGCCTCAGACCAAACACTTGCCACTTACTAGCAGTGTGACCCTGGGCAAGTCACTTAACCTCAATTGCCCAAAAAAAAAGTGCTATCTGGAAGAGGAACTGTCAAGCACTAGGGACCTCTGTTAACTGAAGAAAAATTGCAAAACAAAAACATTTCATGGCAATATTTTCTAGAGGAATAAGTAATAGCAATGATACTGAAATTATGAATGACAGGATAGCATAATGAATAGCGCTGGGCTTGAAATCAGAAAACTGAAGGCTCAAATCTCACCTCTGACACTTACTAGCTGGGTGACCATGTGTGACTCACTTTAACTTGGCTGAGCCTTGGGCAACTCTCTGGCACTCAAAGTCACAGACACGCTGCAATGGGCTTTGGTCAAGAACGATCTCCCACAAGTGACAGGTCCTTTACATATAGGTGTGAGGCAGCAAAATCCTCCATTTGTAATTAATAATCTGTGTGACTACCTCAGTTTCCTCATATGTCAATTGTGAGGGTTGAACTAACTGAAGTACTCCTTTTATCTCCAAATCTATTTATTCTCCCATGATACTAAGAAAGAGCTATCATGGAGAGAGAGGGGACAGACCAGGAATAGATTGTCCTATGAAAAAGCATACAAGTAGTATTTCTAAATTTCTACTAATCTTCTCTTCATGTCATATCATTGGAAAATGAAAAAATTATCTTTGTCAGAAGCATGGTTGCCTTAGGTTTGAAGGTTCTCCTCTCTTTTTTTCCAGTTCATTAAACATCTGAAGCTAGGATTGCCGGAGCATGACTATAATCCCAGCTGTGTAAGAATCAAAGGCTGGCAGATCTCAAACTGAGGAGTTCTGAGCTTTGGTAGGCCATGTCTGTAGTAAGTTTGGCATTAATATGGTGAGATCTCAGAAGGTGGGGGGGAGGGGCGGGGAGAGGAGGCACATGTTGCCTAAGGAGGAGTGAATCAGCCCAAACGGAGAAGATCAAAGTTTCCACACCAGTCAATAATGGGATCAGTCTTTGAGAAGGCCCTGCATTTCCAACTTAGACAAGATAGAAACCAAGTCATTTTTTTAAAAAATGCAAATTCTTTGACATTCAAGAACACACTCTCATCTCCAGTCTAGAATAATCACACATCCTTCAAACATCAACAGAAAGAGTTTTGGTTTTTGTTTTGTTTTTTACTTATTAACTAATACAATATCTACCAGGATCCTAAGAATAGGAAACTATAAAATTAAAATACAAACTCCTAGAAACCAAACAATGGATCCACACAGCTGGTTCTCTGCAACCGACTTTGGTCATTCTAAAGGAGTAAAATTGAATTTTAATTGTCACTGTTACAAACAACATTCTGGTGTTGGTGCTACTGCTCATAAACTGGAAAGAATGTGTACAATGGACTAAATTAGTGCAACAAGTATAAGTTTTTGGCATTTCTGAAGACAGAAAAAAAATCAGTCCCATGGAATTAGAATAGTGTGTACATATTCATAACCGCTATGCATTTGGCATCTGGGTCAACAGCCATCCATGGGCACATTTGCATCACTGTATTTTGGTCTATTTTGAGGCATCTGAATTTCAAAATAATAAAGCCAGGGGAAAAGGAACTCAAGTTTCACTTCCTTTGACAGTTACATTTCCAGAAACAAGATGAATAATGCACTGATCGGGGAAACAATGGGAGAAAAATCTAAGGTGGTATGAGATCATTATCTCCCTCCCAAAAGTGGGCATTTTAAACAATTGGTTCAGTTAAAGAATTGAATGCAGAATTCTTATAATTACCATAAACTGGATCAAGGGGAGATCATTCTTTTTCATCTAGAACAGAGACATTTTTGAGTTTTAAATAACTTCTTCAAATATAGTTGAAAGCCTGAAAATCTAAACAAAACTTCCTCTCTTTGTAGATCTGCCCTTAATAGGGATCTCATTAACAAATATAAGAAGAGATGTTGCGCTAATGCCTAGCTATTTCACATTCAGAAGTCAACACCTGAAGAATAATTCAAACTCAATTATTTGTCTATCTAACAAATAGTTACTAGAACAATCTATTCCCAAAAAGTCAAAATCTGAAATGATGAGGGAAATTGCACACATCAAAACCAAAATATAGAGCCCACTGATGCTAAAGGTTCAGAAAATTCACTTCCCCTATTTCATTGATCCAAACCCATAAAACTCACTGACAACATGCTTTTCTAGCATCTTCCTCTAAGTCCATTGGGTATGTGGGTAAGTTTCAGCCCAAGCCAATGCACTGCATACTGGGGCGGGGTGGGGGGGAAACACGTATACACACATAAAGGACAGCTGTGGGTTGTTTCAAACTCAATCATTTCTCCTTGAAAATCAAAATCACTTTTATGAAAGAAGCAATTTGCTTTCAAATGTTCTTAGGATTGACCCACTTTAGGGGATTTCTCGAAAACTTGTAATCCTTGAGAATCCAGAATATGTTAATTCAGTTTTCTTAAATTTGTGTGATTCCCAAGTAGGAGACATCCTAAAAAGCAAGTGGTGCTGGAACAGGTAGGAGATGCTGCCATCCAAGATGCCCATTTGGAGACTCAAAGTCCTCAAGTCCAAGAGAATCTTCACTCAAAAGGTCTATGTGATCATCTGAGTGAGCATGCTGGCACATGTGTTCTTCTCACCAACAACAAAACCCAGCTAATTCTGGGCTACCGGGTGACCTACAACAAAGGAAATGACAAAGCAGTGAGTTTCTCAAAGTAGCAGATACGCATGCAGAGACCACAGCAGTTATTAAAGCAACGACATAATGCAAGCACTGAGCTGTACCTAGGGTGGGGAGATTGGATTTTTGTTCCTGGGCACTAAGGTTTAGAGGGTGCAAACAGCACTTACAATGTAGAAACATTAAAACGCCTGAGCTTAGCACTTAGCATGAGTAGAACATTAAAAAAGAATTGGCCAGGAGCAGCTAAGTGGTGCAGCAGATAGAGCACCGGCCGTGGATTCAGGAGGACCTGCATTCAAATCCGGCCTCAGACACATAACACTAGCTGTGTGACCCTGGGCAAGTCACTTAACCCCATTGCCTAGCCCAAAAAAAAAAAAAAAAGGAATTGGCCAGCTCATAATGTGTCCTCAAGATGCCCTTCCCTCTCTGTGTCCTGAGATCTTTGACAACAAAGTGCCTGTGCTGTCTCTTCTGCTCCAACTGAATTTGTCTTTAAAAGGTATTTTGAGGGCACTTTTGCGCTGATCGCTCTGGTCCAATCTTGAGAATCTTTACCCAGATTCAAAAAGGAATAGTTAGGACTCTGTGCAGTGTATTTGAATTTGTGCAAAATTATTTTAAATTTCTACTTTGATATTTATTATGATGAAGATGTTAGCTTGGATTTCTGAAGCCCATGCAATGAAGTGCAAGTATGGGCAAGTTCTATACCCTGTAAATTCAAAACTTTATGCTAGGTACTAGGGGTATAAAGTTTAAAAATTACATTGTCTCACCTCCAGGAGCTTATATTCTATGGGGAAGACTATGGTATACACACAGATAGGTATAATAGAAGTTAGAGTGAGACTGGGACAAAGGAGAGGTCTAAACAAAGTGCCCTGGGAGAATTCAAGACATTGAATTCATTTGGAAACTTTTTCAAAAATGAGTCTACTGATACAAAGGCCACCATCTTTAGGGCAGCCTTCACCAGAATGACAACCATAGTAAATCATAAATCCAAATCATTCCAACAACCATTTATTAAGCACCTATTGTGTGCCAAGCCTGCCCTCAAGGAGCTCATATTCTACTGGTCCAATGACAAAGTTGTGAAGTGGTTGTCATTTGTCATTTAGGAAAATACACATACTAATGAAATCAGACCTTTCAAAGTACTGAAGAAAGAATAATTGGCTTTGCCTTCATAAGAGGCTGGCTCAGATGCAACTAGTTTAGCTTGTGAGTGTTCAAACTTGTCAAGTGGTCACTGTGGTCACAGAATCATAGATCTAGAGCTGATAAGAGTCTTAGAGGTCATTTAGTCCCATTCTCATTTTACACATAAGGAAACTGAGTCCCAAGAAGAGGAAGCGACTTGACCAAGGTCACAAGGGTAGTAAGGAGCAGAATCAGAATTTAAACTCAGCCCTTTGACTCCAAATTCAGACAACTGGCTTTTTGTGAAGCAGGAGATTTTCTGTTTGATTGACTGCCTGCCTCTATAAGGAGCTACGTGGTGGAATTATTCCAAATTTCTTCTCTCTCTAAGACCATGTTTGTGTTCATAGTTTGTCCTGAATGTTCTAATACAGGATTGAAACTCTCACAATAAAACCATCAACCCTGTATCTGTGTACTGTGAAGAAGTTTTAAGTTGCTCTGTAGTACAAACACTCATAGCCCATCAAGTAATTTCATGTATGCTGAGCTGTCTAAGTTAATTCCTTCAAGAATGGTTCTCATAATTATTGGTTAAAATTATAAAGTATAGATAGTTCAATAGAGCAAAATAATGTTGCTCTGTGTGAGTGTTTTAATGCAATGTTCACTTTTTTTAATGGCTTCTTTTAGAAAACCTCTTGCTTTACTGGGGAAATAAGACTATTAAAAGGTAATAACTGTTTTTTTCTTTATTACTCAGAATAATTAACTACACTTTAAACAAACATTGCAGAAAATCTATACATTTTGAGCCTGGTTCTCCTTTAAAAGCTACAATAATAATAGCTAACATTTTTGTAGTGCTTACTATGTGCCAGGCACTGTCCTAAGAACTTTGCAATTATAATCTCATTTGATCCTCACAACAATCATGGGAAATAAGTACTATTATCATCCTTGTTTTACAGATGAAGAAACTGATGTAAACAGAGGTCAAGTGACTTGCTTATGGTCACATAACTAACAAGTGTCTGACACAAAATTTGAACTTGGGTCTTTTAACCCCAGGCCCAGTATACTATCCACTGTACCACTTAATGGGTTCCCCACTCCTGAAGATATTCCTGCAGAGAATAGAACATCACTTGTTGGGTTTGGGATGAATTGGATGGCCACTGAGGTCACTTTCAATGCAAAAAATTCCATGCAGTGATATATTTAGTAGGGGCAGTGAAGTCAAGAAATCAAGGTTCTACTTGAATCCATCTACCTCCAGACAAATTTGTCATCCAACTATACATATTATTTAGTGCAAAGTAGCTGTTTTGTATCAAATAGTATAGTAGAATTTGTATTCATCTTTTTTAATGCTACTTATAAGGAATTATTTTTTAAAAGGACCAAAAACTCCTCATTGATTCATAGCTTGATTAATAAGATACCAAGGCTGCACCCATTGATACTAAATAAGAAACAGAACTATTCAACACAGGCAAAGACATAAAACTGAAAATCACATATTTGTGGGATCTGAAATTGAAAACTTCAAGGTACCTTACATGCCACTTAGTCCAATACCTTCATTTTAAAGGGAAGGAAACTGAGGTCCAAAGGTGAATGCCTTGACCAAGCTCACTTAGGAGGTCATTGGGAAATCTGGGGTCATGTTTTTAAAAAAAAGTTATATCATCTACCCAGAACAACTGAGAGAGCTGCAAGCCACAAAAATGCATTTCCAGAAAAAGTGGTATGTGTGATTTTTCTAGAGAAACAAAACTACTACAAAGCAAAACACTACAATGAATATGCTGGAAAAGAACTGGAAAGTAAAGTCCATCAATTGGCAAATGGCTGAACAAATTATGGTATATGGATATAATAGAATACTACATTCCATATGAAGTGATGAATGGGATAGTTTCAGAAAACCTGGGGAAACTTGAATCTACTGGTAAAAAGAAAAGTGGGCAGAACCAGGAGAACTATTTCTCTAATAACAACAACATAAAAAAACCACTTTGAAAGTTTAAAGAACTCTGCCTGAAGCAATGACAAACCAGGATTCTATAATACTAATGATAAAGCAGGCTACTCCTGTTTTGGCAGAAGAGTGATGGACTCACGATACAGAAGGAGACACACATTCTTAACCATGGCTGATATGGAAATGTTTTGCTTGACTATGTATATTGGTTACAAGACTATGCATATTAGATTTCTTTGTCTTTAAAAAAATAATTTTCAGAGGAAAAGGTCATGAAGATGAAAGGGAAAGAAGGACTAGAAATTGAGCTGCCAGGAAGAAAAAAGTAAAGAGGGTCAATAACGCATTTGCATAGAAGAGGAAGGCCAGAAGGAATCATAGATAAGCAGGACAGCTTTGAAAGTCTGTTGACTTTGTCATATGCGTAGAAGGAAGCTATTTATAATGGAGATTCATCTTTTGAGGTACAACCCTCTTTTTCTGTCCTACTTTATTTATGGAAATGAATATTTTATTTGACGTTTATTAAGTCCAGAATAAAAAATAAGTAATTGTTTTTTTTAAAAGAAAGAATATTCTAAGAAAGAAATATTTGTCTACACGAAAAGAGATGACTGGTTAGAAATGATCCCCACATCTAATTACCACATCTTTGTCTAATTACAATGACTTTGTCATGTAACTCCTACTGGCTGCATTTTTTTTTCACATTTCTATTTAAATTCAGGATTAACTTCCAACTTGGATAGCTCCTATAGAAAATCATATATTATTCCTCCTTTGGACATTTCATTTCTGTTCTGAATGTATTATTGTATCTTTCACCCTAAACCATCACACACACACACACACACATACACGCACACACACACACACACACACACACACCACATACCCCTTCTCTATGACTGTAAAGTCCTCACAGTCCCTTGGGTTCCCAATCTAGGAATGATCCTGGATTTCTCACTCTGTCTGACTCTTCCATCCAAGCCATTACAAAGGCGATCTCTTGAATACACTCCCTTTTCTCCTCTGATGCTACCACCACTCCGGTGCAAGCTCTCATTACATTGCACCTAGACTACTGAAAGCCTGTCAGTGAGCCTGCCTACCTCAAGTCTCTCCCTACCCTAGTCTATGCTCCAGTCTCTAAAAGTTTCTATAGCACAGGAATGTGCTTTGTCATGACAGGAATGTCATCCCTCTACTCAATAAACTCCAGTGTTTCCCTATCACATCTAGAATCAAATACAAAATGCTCTGTTTGGCTTTCAAAGCCCTTCATGACCTAGCCCACTCCTGCCTTGCCACTTTTCTTGCTCTTTACTCCCTGACATGTACTTTTTGATCTTGTGACACCACCTGGCTGTCCCACAAACAAAGATGCTCAATTTCTTAGCTCCTGGCGCTTTCTCTGGCTGTCCTTTATGCCTGGAATGCTCTCTCTCCCTAACTCTGACTACTCACGTCCTTACCTTATCCCACCTTCTACAGGAAGCCTTCTTTGTCCCCTTTTAATTGCAGCACCTTCCTTCTATTAATTACTTCCTATTTGTCCTGTATATAGCTCACTTTGTATATATTTGTTTGCATGTTTTCTCCTCCATTAGATTATAAGCTCTTTGAGGCCAGGGACTGTCCTCTGCCTCTTTGTGTATCCCCAGAACTTAGCACAGTGCCTGGCACATAGTAGGTGCTTAATAAATGTTTATTGATTGATTAATTGTTGAAAATATCAACTAGTCAATACTTTTCTCTGCACGGTAAATATGTCTAGTTAAAATATCTGGGCTGATGACAAGGGGCCATGAGTTATTGTTTCTTTTTCTTCAGTACACAGTAGCCTAAGCCTGGAAGGTGGACACAACTATACACATGAATTTCCTGGATGTGCATAGGCTCTATAAAAGACATAAAATGTTTTACACCATCTAAGTCACACTTCGTCAGATTAATAAAGAAAACAAAGTTTTATGACTTCAGAATGATCCTCCGGTGGCCCTCTACTACAAGGCATCCTTGGTATCACAGTGACTTAGGGAGCAGAATGATGTGACTATGACTTTTTGGAAGTATTCAATGAAATGTCACTACTACAGAATAAATTTAGAAACAGTAGGCCTTGCTTCCTAGCACACAGTGCCCTAATAATCCTAAGGCATATATATGCCAATGTACCATAGAGCAATACCTGACTATAGAGGGCAGATCTGCTAAGATGCTGAGGTATGCCCACTAATCTTAATTTCCAGAACCCATTTGGCTTGTATTCATTGTCTTGTTTTTACTGTTATGAAAGGATCGCCAAAAGTGCTGCTCCATGGCCCCAAAATTCAAAGCAAAGGAAAAGTTTAGTGTTGACAACTGAATGTAAGACACTAGAGGGAAGAGTATTTAAAGGGCTTTTTTTAGATTTCTAATTTATTAGCATCATCAAACATTTAATTGCATATGGTGATAATATTTACTAGTAGGATCATAGATTCAGAACTGTAATGGGACCTTAAAACAACTTCATTTGAAAGAGAAAAAAGAGGGCCAGAGATTGGACAGGTGACTTATCAAATGTCTTCATTCTTCCTCTTTCACCCCCCCCCCATTTATTTAAAAACATTGGCTTCTATCACTTGAATCACATTTTCTATCAGTTAAACAATGATTTTCTTTTTAAGGAGCATTTCTATTTCCGGGATCCATCTGTATGGGGATATTTGCCATAATATTTTGATACATTAGCCTGTCATCTAGGGAACTTCTACTTTAAATCAGACTCACAAAAGAAGTGAAATAAATTTAGTATCACTGACTAAAAAACGGGCTATTGCACCAAATCACAGTTCCATAAAACCTGACACAAAGGAGGATGCTGGGAAATCTCCTTTTAGTAAAGGCCAAACCATGGGCTAGCAGGAGAACAACCAGCTTGATCAACATGAAATACAGCTCTCTCAATGTCTAAATTAGAAAACCATGAAAAGTAAACATCATTAATAACTGGCCACAGCCATTGATTCTGTTTGTGTTTTTCCCCCATGCTTACCTTGGTGGTTTTGACTTTGTTGCCACTGCTGCAAGACCAACCAGAATAATCTGGAAGCACCTTACAATCCTCTCCATCCAGGCATGGGTTCATATGACACCACCATTTCTGTAGGACAATGGAGGCTGGAAGAGAGAACCCAAGTCACAAGTGTCAAAGGGGATTTTGTTTTCATTGATCTGGGAGGGAAAACAATGCCTTCCTTCATGATTGGGTTACATAAATACAGCTGTTACAGAGATGAAATGTCTTCATTCATAATTAACTCCCCAATTGGAAAAAGAGAGAGAGAGAGAGGGAAAGAGGAAGGAAGAAAGGAAGGAAGGAAGAAAGGAAGGAAGGAAGGAAGGAAGAAAGGAAGGAAGGAAGGGAGAGAGGGAATGTCAAAGTGAGGACTTAAAATTATCTTGATAGGGTATAATACTGGGCCAAATTGAATGTGATCAAATTTATTAGGGATAAATATTGAATCTTACACATGGTTTCAAAAAATCAGATTGACAAATAAAAGAGAAGTTGCCAGTAGTATCTACCTGCAAGTGCAATCAACAGTGAGATATGCAGGTTCAAATTGGGGCAGCCAGGGTTCCATCCATTCCCATACCCAGCTGGCCCAGACTGAATAATCTCAGGGAAAAGATCAAAAGTTTTCATTAACTCTTCTATTCTCCCTAATTTATTTAGAAATGTTGACTTGTATCACCTGAATAATACTCTGAAAGTATTAAATTTAAGGAAAATTTCTATTTTATGGAACCATTGCTTCTCTTTCTGAGGGCTACTGGCCCATGATGAGATGTGACTGAAGATGGAGCACCCATGATGACCCCAGCTCTATTTTCAATGGGCTATGTTCAAAATAAATAGTGGCCAGAACCAGTGAGGGAATAGTCCTGCTGCTTTCTATCCTGGTCATCTGAATAGAGTATTGTGGTCCCTTCTGGGCACCACATTTTTGGAAGGATTTTGATAAGCCAGAAAGCATCCCCAAAAAGGTGGTTGAAGGAACTGGGGATATTGAGCCAGCAGAAGAGAAGAATTGGGGGTAGAGGGATACGGTAGCTGCACTCCTTGACCAGGAGTGGGTTAGACTAGATGGTTACTGAGTTTCCTTCCATCTCTAAGTTTCTGTGATGTTATCCCCATTTTAGGGAGGCTCAGAATGATTGGCAAGTAGCACTGCTCATAAGTAGCAGAGCTGGGACTTAAACCCGGGAATTAAGAATCAGTCCTGAAGGCTCTTTCCACTATTCCATAGCTAAAAGATAAGTGATGCCAATCCATGTTTGGTAAGATTTTAGACTGAATGGAGTGAACATCCATCCTCTCCTTACTTTTGCTATCCATAACCACTGAAGTTAGTCATGGAGAAAGGGAAGATTCATTGGCTTGAATAAAAACAACATTCCAGGCCAAGCTGAGTACAACTCCACAAAGCACCTGGGCCCAGCAGCAAACTCGTTTCTGAAGTGCAAAGACAAAAACACATTAAAAGACTCCATCTTATCTTCACGTTTCACTTGCTGTTCAGTCATCTGAATAAAACAGAGCCCATCCGGCTACTCTGCCCTAATTCTGATCACTGAGGTGCCACTTGAAGTCAATTATTGCACAGAAACACTACAAACAAATGGATGGAGGAAAGCCTGGCACTGGCTGGCTTTCCAGCTGCCTTGTGCTAATTAGCTCACCTGCAGAATACTCCCTTAGACTTGCCTCACCAACTAACCAGCTGGCAGCCAGGAGACCTGTTAACGAAATGATTTGTATTTTCAACCTACAAAGCAGGAAATACTGCAAGATTTATCACCCAGATACCCAGTACTTAGACAAGTGAGACTCTATTTATGGGATGCTGTCCAAACAGGAAGGACCATGGAAAGAGTTATTTGGAGTCAGAAGACGATGGTTCAAATCTCGACTTTACCACTTAGTAGCTGTGTAACTTTGGGCAAGTCACTGAGCCTCTGTGAGTCTCCCCAAACCCCTCATATGTAAAATGGGGAGGCTGGAATAGGACATCTAAAGTAGTCCTTTCAGCTCTAAACATGTGGTCTATGAATAATAATAGAAATAATAATAATAGCCAATATTTATTTAATGCTTGAAAGTTTACAAATGAGCTATGTATATTAACTCATTTGATCCTCATAACAAGCTTATGAAGTGTCATTATCCCCATTATGCAGATTGAGAAACTGAGGCACCGAGAGATGAAATGACTTGCCCAGGGTTACACAGCTAGTAAATGTCTAGGGCAGGATTTGAACTCAGGTCATCTGGACTCTAAATTCTATGCTCTGTACTAGCTGCTTCAATGACAGGGAGAAAATTCAGTCATTTTGATTATTCTCCCTGATTTTTTTCTCTTCCCCCACCCCTGGAAAAAATTTAAAGGAGCTCGGTGCGATTCAATTGCTCTTTTAAGAGGATTCAGTCAAACTTGTCCATACATAAAAAGTTGCCCGAGTGTATTTGAAAATTCCATCCTCTCACAAATATTGATGGTTGTTTTTTCTCATGTTTAAGTTGGATGGCAGTTCCTAATGAAAGAGAAAGTTAGTAGAAGATCAAAGGAGCTTAGGCCTAGAGCTGAAAGGAAAATTACAGGCCATTTAGTTCAATCTCCTAATTTTACAGAGTAAGAAACTGAGGCCCAGTGAGATGACTTGCCAAGGTCACAAAGGTAGAAAGTAACCCAGCCAAGATTTTGAGCTGAGAACCCCTGACTCCAAACCCATGATACAGTAATGAAGTTTTGCTATTTGTGACTTGGTGAGCAGCTGTTATTTCTAACCGTAGAGGCACATTGTCATGGATAATATTAATAGAATAAACTCAGAGAACCACATAATAAGTGGTCTTGGAGATCAGGATCTAGCAAGTTCAAGTGAAAAATTGTCATTATCATCCAAAAAGGTTGTCTAGTGGAAATAATCCCCTCCTTTCTAAGAGGCAGTGTTGCTTAGTGGGTATGGAGCTATCTTTGGAGTTCAGAAGACCTGGGTCCAAATTTTGCTTCGGACAGTCCTAAGCAGATGAACTTGAGGAAGCCACTTGGCTTCTCAATGACCCAATCTCTCCATGACAGTAAGTTCACCTGCTCTGTGTTGGTAAAGATTATTGGTCACTGAGAGCCCTCTGTACAGATGAAGTCACTGGTGTGGGAAAAATAGCTTTCTGACTGCTAATACCCACATAAGTAGCAAATACAGTCACTCAATTCAATCAAAAGTGCAGTTGGGCACCATGTAAGTAGTGAGCTTCTCACTGGTTAACTTACACAAATGTTTTGATTTTGTATCATCCATTAAAATTCTCCTGTTATACTTTCTTGTGTTGTGGAGTTGTGTGGCCTTGGGTTCCTGAATGTCATGTTACTCGAACCTAAAATCTGGTGGGTCCTATGCATTTGGAAAGCTGTTTATCATCCAAAGAGCAGCATAGGTTTAAAGAGGCTCATTTACAGGAAGAGGCAATAAGGGGATGAACTTCAACTATAGGAATTCTCCAAGACAAAAGTTTGTGAGGGAGCGGGAGTAGAATGGAACATAACACATCAACATATGCTTGAACCAGCCCATGAGAGTTGATTGTTAAGTTCCAATGTGATCATTTTTACTTTGGAAATTCACAAAAGCAACAAATCAGGAATTGATTTATTGTTTTACTGATAATCTAGATATAAGAACATATTAATAATGCAGATGAAACTTAATTGTGGGTAAAAAGGAAATTTTCAGACAGCTGGTTGTTAAACATTTACCCACACACTCCTGGATGGACCTCAGTAGAGAGAGTAACCACATAAAAGAAATCAGGTCCTTAAGTAATAAAATCTTTGACAATATATCTGTAGCAGTGGTGAGATAGGGTGGTGATCCAGCTTGTTTAGTCACTCCTAAAGTATTTCACCCTACTATGGCCTAGACAAATTTCCTCATACAAATGCTCATTCTTGGCTCAGAGAGTAGCTATAATTCTCTCTTCCTTTTTTTAATTACTCAGCTCTGGGTCCCCAGACAGAGACAGTTGTTTGGCAAAACGTATCAGTGTCAAATCTTTCTCTTTTTTTCTCTATGAATGTTGACCCCTTAATTGCTTCTTCTCAACTCTATTTCCACTAAGTAACTATACCCAGACTAGCAAAGGCCTGTAGTTAGCAATGTTTATAAAGACAGAGTGACCATTTAAAATAAAGAAAGATAAACAGATGTTCCCCATGCCCAGAATGAAAGGGTGCAGGCTTCCTTAAAGGAGCCCTGATGAAAAAGGAGGTAACAGAATTAGTGCCTAGAGGTCCTGAAATTCAGAGTTTCAGCAATATATCACTTTTCCTGACACTCCTTGGGCCCTCCCAGTTGGCCCAAACAATCTCATTGCCACATTCCTGATGCCCCTACCACTGTCTCCATGCCACAAAGCTTTTGTGGTCTACTTTTCTCTACCCTAAGTCTTCAGCTGAAGTATTGTTGTGTTCTTTCAGAAAGAACATGGATTCTTACCCTAAGGATGGTTGGCAAAGCCTTCCCAATTTTGTTCTGTTGAGAGTCTTAGTTCTGAGGACAGCTGTCTCTCAAAATGAAGATGGCAGGCCAGGATCCTCCCAGGAAGTTAGTACCCTTGTAGGCTTAGCTTTACCTTTCTACCCTCTTCCTGACATAAATATCTGCTTCCTCCTTCACACAAATTTGATACACAAAATCCAGAGAGATTTAACAAATTCAATTAATATTTATCAAATGCTTTACTCTGTGCAAGGCACTGTAGTAGAAGTTGGGAATAAAATGCAAAAATAAAATAAGCCCTGGGCTCAAGTATCTTACATTCTAACAAATGTAGAATATTGATAAATTTGGAGTGAATACTGATTTTTATGAGAGGCAACCCAGTGCCTCCCAGGCCTCCCTTCCCAGGTAGGGAACTAGCCTCTGGAAGACTTGGACACCTGCTGATAGTTTGACCCTGGACAAGTCATTTCAGTGCCTCCAAGCAACTCTCTAAGCCTCTAAATTGCCCAGCTGATGCTGATCTGCATTGATATAAGGCCACAGGTATGGAACAATGCAAAAAAATCAGATTTCTTTTCAATGTGTTGATTGGTTTTGTCAAAAAAATTTTCTTT